AACCGCTACGGGACATGGAAAATTGTATAATTGCAGCTTAGTTCTACAGAGAAATACAGAAACAATAACAGCTGGAAAAATACCTTTACAACTTTCAACCAATGAAAGCTCGCACAATTCCTCGCACACTCTGTCGGCACACAGGACAACTTTCCAAGGCTGACGCACACTCAGAACAGCTGACCAAGTGACCACATGGAAGGAAAATGACAGAAACTTCCATGTCAATACAGATTTTGCAGACAGATCGCTTTGCCTGTCACAGGTCCAGTATGTTGCCCCTCTACAGCAGCTTGTATCTAGATCCCCACACCTATGGGGTAGACGCTCTGTTTCAAACAGACAGAGGCCTAATGAACCATTGGGAAAATCCTCCTTTTCGTCTAATCCCACGGGTCCTCAGCATCCCGGAGAGGTTTCAGGCAGAGGCAACTCTTATAGCCCCCATGTGGAGATCCAAATGCTACCTTGCAAAAATGATGAAAATGGCGGTCGCTCCCCCCATCAGGCTCCCTCCGGCATACCTTTTTTGCACGCCGCTGGGCAACCAGCTACCAGAACCAATGAAAAACCGCTCATGGAAAATCAATGCCTGGAGACTGCGTGGAGGAGGAAGCTGACCACCTTAGGCTGGTCAGAATGAGCCATGCGGTACTACTGTTCTTCCCTTGCACCATCTTCTTTAAAGGAGTACAACAAACACATTGCGGAAATTGACAAATTTTGTGTTTCACAAAACATTAGGGACATTGTAAGCAGCAGTGCTATATATATGCGCCATTCCTGACTTCTTCATCTTAGTTGCAAAATCGAAACGGTCTGAAAGACCAGAATCTTTGTTACGGAGCGTCGTCGTTGCGGCGGTTAAGTATTTTTACCGAGCAAGAATGCATTTAGATCCTACCACTGGGGATATTCAAAGGCTAATCAAAGGTTTAATCAAAAGCGAAACTGTCCGACCGAGACAGCGTACAAAGGCAAAGCCCATTGAACCATTTGTAAAACTATTTACAGAGTGGGGTGACAATGACACATTGAACCATTTGTAAAACTATTTACAGAGTGGGGTGACAATGACACATTGAACCATTTGTAAAACTACTTACAGAGTGGGGTGACAATGACACATTGAACCATTTGTAAAACTACTTACAGAGTGGGGTGACAATGACGCATTGTGTACCAAACAACTACTACGTCAAAAAGCTGTCACTCTTCTGTCCATCACTGCATTATGCAGACCAAGCGTATATATATGGCACCCCAAGTGATCTTAAAGAGAGGCCAAATCAGTTTCACAGAACAAGGCATGCGCATCACCTTCTTCGGTATAAAAAATGACTCTAAGCATCAGGGGTTTCATGTCGTCGCCTCGGAAAACCCCCTCATTGACCCAGTTAAGGCCAAGTCGTCATACTTACAACGGACGGCTCACCTCACCACTGACTCAGGATGACCCTGTGTTCATCGCACTAGCTTCCCCGTTTAATCAAATAAGTTCGTCCTCGGTGACTGGGATTCTAAATGAATCAACTGCCGAGGCGAGCCTCCCTCGCGAGTTCACTGCTCGATGTTTCAGAACCACAGGCGGTGCGCGAACTTGGTCGGTGGCAATCTGACACTGTAATGTGGAATCACTATTGTTCTTTAACCAAGCACAAAAATGTCACCGACTCTATTCTCCAATCTACGTCTAAGGCCTGAGAGCGATACTTCACATGTCTCATCAATTTGATCATTACACTTTTCCCGGTGCATTGTGTTCGTCTAATTTTTGTTTAAAGTTCACAGCTACTGATGACTATGAGTCAGTTTTATTTCTTCTTTCATACTCATTTAGGTATATTATTACATACGAGATAGCCATTGAAAATTTCTGTGTTTGATTTCATTTTTCACTTTTTTTTTCCACGGTTTCTGCGTGAACCTTCAATCTTCATCTCTCTACAAAGACAATAATTTGTTTCTTTATTAATAAAATATATGCATTAATAAAAACAAATGTCTCGGTGCTGCTGTTTCTAACTGATGTTTGTAAAGATCCTTTTATAACATTTCCATCAGAGGCAGCAAAATGAAAACTACCTTAGGGGTGACCTACTGGGCACACTTTGTTGTGGTCAAATAAAAACTAGTTGCTTCTCTCCCTGGAGAATGTTTTTTTAAGGAAATTAAAAAGTTTCTGTGGTGACAATAAGATTATGTCCCTTTTTTACCATTCTGTGATTGAAAGTGTGCTATTATTTTGTATTTGCTGCTGGGGTGGGAATTGTAAGGTGAAAGATAAAGAAAAATTTGACAGAACCATTAAAAAAGCCAGCAAGATCTCTGTATATGATTTTAATAGAATGGATGAAATGTATAACACCACAAGTATAAAAAAGATAAAAAGCATTATAAACGACCCATCACACCCCCTTTCCACGCAAATTGTCAGATCACGCAGCGGCAGATATGTACCTCCAAAAACAAAGAAAGAAAGATATAAAAAAAGTATTTTACCATTTAGCATAAGGCTTTTGTCAGAATGAGCATAGATGTGTGTTGCTCCTAGAGTATTTATCTATAACTTCAAAGGTCTAGTATTTAAATTCCTGCATGTGGTTGAAAGATGCATTTGATGTAAATACGTTTTGTCAGCTTTACTTCTCTTTTCATATTAAATTTTAATGACAATAATATATAATTTAAATTTGTTATGTATACCTGCATGTGTTTTTACGGTCCTGTACAGCCAAGGAAAATTTCCCTCTGGGATAATACAGCACTATCTTATCTTATCTTATCTTAAAAATGTGAGGCTGCGATACTTGAAATATTTTAAGACACGACAGACAGGAGCTGTTTGTGTGAAAAGAACTTTCAGACTTGACACACAGAAGATTAGATCTACACTTCCTATGTTGTCAGCCCCAACTATTTCGAAATCACAAGGAAGTCACTGCGATTAAGTGCGACGGGAAAAGTAGATCAATCATAAAATAGCTGAAACTCAGTGGGTGTCAGAAAAACACACCCGCTTTCGTACTTGAGAAATGAAAAACAAAAATGCAACCAACTTCTGCAAAGAAATAGACAAACAAAAAGCAGTGATACATACCGTCACAAGTTTTGAAGGAAGAAGAACGCTTGTTTGAATGCCCAAATATCTATGTGGCATACAGGACAAGTTGTCAAGGCCAGAGAACACTCAGAACAGCTGACCAAGTGACCACAGGGAAAGAAAACGACAGAAACTTCCATGTCCATACAGATTTTGCAGACAGTTTGCTGGCGAAGCTGGCTGTTTTGTTCTTTCAGGGAGCTAATCGTCTCTGGGGACACACAAGTACAAATCAACATTATGGCCCTCAAGGAACGCAACGCACTGCAGGACACAGATTATACAGCACAATATTTTTTACTGCACTCCCATCACTTTGCTATAAAGATTAAGAATGATTTATCTATGTGCAGCTAACAAATGTACAGCGACCAATCTGAAAAAAAATTAGCACCTTCCTTCCGTGCCATAGGACTTGGAAAACTAGCAAAACAAATAACATTCTACTCAAACAAATTTTATAAATCTGCTTTAACAAACTTGACAAGTCATGTTCAGTCCAGGGAGGATGTAATGTCCAATATTTCATGTTTCTCCTCGTGAAGAGACACAAGTCTTGATATATGTAGATTTAAATAACAAAAGTAACACAACAATTATAATTTGAATTGAAAAAATATACAAAATTTACATACAAGTGCAATCACGATACTTAAAATGTCAAGCTTGAAAATGAATATATAGGACTAAATACTAAATACACTCAAATACCTGAAAAGTCACTGTGACATTTCCTTCGCATATTTCTAACACAGGTACAACCCTGATTGAACTAGATTTGGATTAAGTGCACTGTTTAATTATAACACAGCAACTTTTCATAAACTCACCCCTAACTCTACTGTCGCTATGTTCACTGCTGACACTTTCGCAAGGATCCAACTCTGTTTGACTCCGTGGTTTCTTCGTCTCCACCAACCTTTTAAACAGTTTGTCCGCAGACATGGATTCACCTGAAATGAGTTGACAAGTCAGGAAATGCCTGTCAAGTCAGGAAATGCCAAATCTATTAACTTTCCTAGAAAATATCTGCCCATGAACTTCCAGGACACTGCAACAAATGTATCTGGGGAACACAAACATATCTTATACTAGACCAGGGCTGCCTTCCTCAAAGTTCCCACTTCAGGGAGATTCAGGGTCAGTTTCAGGAAGTTTGGCCCCAAATCAGGTAGTACAAAGGCAAAGAAGGAGAAGAAGATCGCTGCCTCATCGAACGCGCTTTCCGTGATATTGGGCAATTATATTTGGAAAACTTGTTTGTGCATGCACATGTGTGTATCTGTGAGTGCATGTGCGCATGCTCTCGTGTGTGTTTATATGTATATATATGTGGGGAGGAGGGGGGGGGGTTGGGTGTGCACAAGTTACGATGAACAGTGTGTATGTAATGAGGCAAATTGTTTTTTGGTTTGTTTTTTTCTAAGCATATGGACTATCGTTCAAGGCACCTATCATTCAATATTGAATCTAAATTGAGAGCAGGGTGACTGCCAAACTGACTTCAAAACCCCTAGCCCATACCAATAGAAACTATAGTAAAACATATTTCCCGACACTAGCATAGGACACTGATACGTCCTTTGCGACTTAGGTATGACAGACAATTCATTTTAACTAGTTTTTCTATAAAAATACAAAATGAATCCTGATCTGGGCCTGAGGAGAGGCAAGAAGAACATCAACTGCCAAAACCATGTTTGGTTTCAGCAGTCGCGGATTTTACAAAGCATGCAAGACAAAACGTATTTATAAAACCTTTATAGTTAGGCTCATGGCAGAGAAAAAAGTGAAAATAAAAGAGAGCGTGTACTGAAAGCCGGAGCTGGAAGGACTGTGAGAGCGTGGGATGTAGTGAGGCTGAAAACCTGGCAATCAGTGAATCACTGCATCGTGGACTAAGCATTGATTTTTGTCCAAATGCCAAATGTTAAATCGCAGTACCAGTTTTTTTTATCAGCAACAAACTCACGATGCATAGGGATCCAACATAGAATAGAGCTTTCCGAGGGTTGAAAATGGCATTTCCTCATTGCCACTATTCAATTTGTCAATACTGACAAATCCGACAAACCCGAGAACACCAGCCTGGAAGTTGAAGATACAATCATCAAGCCTGTGCTCTAATGTTGCCTTATTTACGCACTCGTATGTCGAATGTCAAAACCACTTTCACTTATCGTTTTTATTTTAGCATCAGTTTCTTGCACCGCGGCCTCATCCTGCTGCCGTAGACTTTATTGCGTCAAACACCCCCCCCCCCCCCCTCAAAGCCCTGCAGCAAGGCTCCTACTTTGAATGAACTTTGATTACCCCAGCAACCGTCGACCGGTCCCTTACTCATGCCGCACTCACAAGAGATGCGAACTAACTCGCACAGGTTCACTGACCGGTCACGATGACGGGCCTGACAATCTAGAAATCGGAGGCAGAGGACGTTTGTTGGGTTTTTTTCCTTGGGTTTTTTTTGCCATTTTAGTGACATCAGATTTAATTGGAAAGGCGACAGTGTGTTTTTTATGCACAAACTGCACGTTACAAATTTTTATTAACTGTAAATCTAACGTTAACAAACTATTATTGGACAATTCTGAGCGAAAGCGAAAGCAGATTTTGATGTTCCCGATGAAGTCTCTGTATTATACCTACACTTATGTCTGCCGCCTTAGCCGCTAATTCGCGTGAAACGTACGACGTACTCTCGGACTGGGGAAAGCCGAACGTAATACAGTAGTCTCCGTCTAAACGCACACTGCTCGGGAGGGCTCCTTAGCGTGTGTTTATAAGGAGCGTGCGTTTACAAGAACCTTAGCAAAGGGAGAAAGGGACGCAGTCTTGTCATTGCCTTAATATACTAGTTACCTCACTTTGGGGTGGGGGTCACTTTAGCCGATAACGTGACGACACGTGACTGTATTGTAAAAGATTCCCCGACTGCGGTTAAGACTGCAAAGACGTTGAATGGGTGTGTGTGTTCGTGTGTGTAAAGGGGAAAGGGCGCAGAAAGACAGACTTGATGTAATGAAAGAACCATAAAATGTCGGGAACCAATTGCCTGAAAAGAAATTGTTGGTGATAGTCATAGAGACGACGGCCCAGCCACGTGGCTTTCCAAGCGACCACCCCCGACCGCAAATTCATGAACGAGCATTCACGCGTGTTGCGCATCACAGGCTTAGGTCTAACTAAACATTAGCTAACAATCAGTCACTCAAACACCAGTCAGAAATCTTCTCTCAAAAGAGATGCATTTCCAGTGACCAATCAAATAACGTTTCAGTCCCCCAAACCCCCAACATTTCACCGACCAGTCCTAGACCTCTGTGTCAGTGGAAAGGTGGGGTCTACCCTTTTCTCCTCCTTTAGGGATTATTTCCTTCTAATCTTCAGCTCTGAAGAGAGAATCATAAGCTTTACTTTCAAAATAACTCACTCTGAGTCTAGATGGGTGTTAACCTCAGACATAAAGCAGGAAGAAAGAAGTGAAAAAAAGGAAAGCCGGCATACCTTCACTTTTGAGATCCTTTGCAGCCTTAATGGCATCACTTTTCTGGAAACCCATCTCAGTAACTGCCAGTACAGCAGCATCCCACTTCAAGGGGTCTCCTCTTGTCCCTGGAGTGTACAAGTAGCCTACAAAGTTGTTTTATCAAATGTGTGGCCTCAGGGTAAAATCAGGTGCTCGTCAAAATATAATGAAATGGGCAATTTTTATCGAAGGTTTGTTTTTTGGCTCAACGCCTTTTATGTCCACTTAAGAACATATTTCTGTGTGGATTTTACTGTTAAACGTTGATCAAAGGCACAACAAAAAATGTAAATTCCTACTTTCAAAGGAGGCTCGGAGAGAATGGCTGATTTTAAGAAAGTCAGTAGCAAATCATTTAATCACATCATGCTCTCTATCTCTAAGAGATAATAAAACATTCTAAAGCCTTGAGAAGCATTTAAAGTAATGAAACAATTATCTAATGCAACTCAACACTTATGTGCCTATGAAATAAAAATGTGAAAAAAGCTTTTCCGTAAATATTCAGCTTCTACAACTCATGGTTTCTCTAGCACTAGTACATTAGGGCAGACTCCTTGACATCTCGTACAAAGACCACGTTTCAAATGCCGAAGTACGAAAGAGAATCACCAACGCAGTGGGACAATATGAAGATCTACTGACCACAGTGAAGAGACGAAAACTAAAATGGTATGGGCATGTCACAAGATCCACAGGACTAGCCAAAACAATCCTGCAAGGAACCGTACAAGGAAAGAAAAAGAGAGGAAGGCAGAGAAGGAGATAGGAGGACAACATTACAGAGTGGACATGAAAGACGATGGGTGACAATCTGAGGAGAGCAGAGGAGAAAAATAGATGGCGAGAGCTGGTTTTCCAATGCAGTGGTGCCCCAACGGTTCCCCCAACCACGGGATAAAAGAGAGAAAAAGAAGAGAGTACATTAGGGAATATTGCACCATCACAAAGACTGAACACAGATACAAAATGTACCTAGAGTTTGACCAGTTGCTGTGCCATCCATCTCTCTCACCACATCGTCATAGGCAACCTGTGGCAAAAGAAAAAGACATATGGGTGAAGAATAACATCTGAAGATCAGTATTTGAAAGTCAGCAATAGTTTGGTAGAACCATGAAAATTCTTTTCAAAGCAAACAAACATATTCTTCATACATGTGTATTAATTACAAATCTTAATTTTTTTTTCATCTTCAAACGATTGAACGGTGGTTTTCCAAAACTCAGTGAGTCAATTTTGAGGATCACCTGATTTCACCATAATACCGTACACATGCATACAAATGTAGCCTACATAAATATATATATAATACGTGTCACAGTTCGGTTGAATCAGGTGCTCTTCAATTTTTTGGTTTGTGAAGTTATTGATATCATCTAAAAGCCTGTTTATTTGTCTAGCTTTGGATTTAAAAAATACTCATCTTGAATTGAAGTCAGGATATTCGCAATTAAAGGAGATAGAGTCGTCTGGTTTTAGAGGTAAAATAAGCGAGAAAGAGGCCGCCTAAGTTTGGTGACTTCTATAGCTTGAGACTCCTTGGATACTACAAATTTATATTGTTTGTGCCTTCAATGTTTATCAGTCAAATCCATACAGAAATGTGTTTTTAAATGGACAAAAAAGGAGTTGAGTCAAAACACAAAAATTCAATAAAATTTGCGAAACATGTCGAAAAAACACTGGTTTCTTTGATTTCATTATTTTGATGGGCCCCTGATTTCACCACGATGCCTCACACATACACACAAGTGCGTGTGTGCATGCGCGCATGTGTCACAACACGCTGGAATCAGGTGCTCTTCAATTTGAGAATGTACTGAATAATTGTTATAATCTTAAAGCCTGTTCTCTAGCCTTGCTTTTGATTTAAAAATACCCATCTATCTTGAATAGAAGTCGAGATATTTGCGATTGAAATTGAAGGAGATTGGGGTTGCCTGGTGTCAGAGGTAAAATTAGCGAGAAAATGGTCACTTCAGTTTGGTGACCTCCAAAGCTTGAGTGTCCTTGGAAAGCGGAAATTTACATTTCTTTGTGTCTTGATCAACATTTTTTACAGTAAAACCTACACCGAAATATGTTTTTAAATGGATATAAAAGGTGTTGAGCCAAAAAACAAAGTTTTATAAAAATTGACAAATGGATGGGAAGAATGCCGGTTTCTTTCGATTTCATTATATTTTGATGAGCGCTGTTTTGACCACAAAACCACTCATGTGATATGTTATATATATATATATATATATATATATATTATGTGTGTGTGTGTGTGTATAGGGAAGATAACTTGCAGTTTACATGCGATTTCGTATTCCCACCTCAAAGCCAAGGTAGGCCTATGTGATACAATGTGAGAGATCATAATATGATATCAAATTCACATGTGTGGAAAAACATTGTCATGAAATCAAATAATGTGGGTCAAGGTCAAGTCAGTCATATCAACGCTAGGTCTACGATAGGCCTAGATCTAGTGCATGAAATAACCCAATATAACCCAATGAGTGAACTGGCAGACCTATTTGATGTATATCTAACGACAAAACATAATAATATAAATCAATTTGAAAAAAAAAAAAGGAAGATTCAAAAGTAGCCTCGCCTTATCCGGAAGTTCACAATATTATCCATAGTGCTGTCAAAAATATCTGACGCAACTTATTGTCAAATATCTCCTCAACCATCGAACATAGGTTCTCCAATTTTTGCACAATGACTTGTATCAATTTGTCTTAACAGATCAACATTTTGTAAACACATAGCTGCTAGCTGTAAGCCTATTCTAGAAAATTCCTTAATAAATAGGCTACTGATAAAAAAATCCAATTAGTAGGTGGTTTCTACAGATTTTTAAATGCGTGTATTTACAGCTGGGGCAATATTGCTTTTAATAGCGAGTCCGTCATGTTTTTCTAATCATGACATTATGTTTATTCAACGCATGTTTTGAGAACCATTAGCTCAAAAAAAATTATAAAAAAATGAATTGGCGTTCATATGACCTTGCCTTATGCAGTTGCGAGCGCCGTAAAACCCTCTACTATAAAATTATTTTTTTAAAAAAATGAATTCACTATAAAATTAATTTCTTGTAACAAGTTGTGCCACTAAAAAGTGTCATTGGTGAGCTGTGACGTAGGCAATATGCGTAATAAAAATGTGTATGAGAAGCGGGAAGTGATGTGAATACAACGTAATTCAATTTTACGTGTGAAAGAGATTTCAAGTTTTTATATAAATTTAGGAAGAAAAGTTTTTTAAAATCTAGCCCCAGTTGTTCTTGAAAAAATATGATTTAGTTATAAATGGAAAATTGATACAAACTGTTGTGTAAAGTATCGATGACATCCATTCAAGAGATTTTATTTGAGGATAAGTTGCGCCACGAATTTTTGACTGCACTATTTTTTTGTGTGAGAGAATCTTTAGTAGGGTTTGGCTGAGACAATGGTTATAAATACATATATGCGTATTAGCGGTCTCAGAGCTAACCTGTTTGGGTAAACGGTGTAGCCTATTTTTATCTCTGACTGCGAACTGAAGTTACGGCTAATCCTGCACACCAAGATTGTGGACTCGAAACGAAAACCTTGATTTTTTTAGGGACCGATCGCTTGCGTGATCCTAATTTAAATCTCTTCTAGTACCGGTTTTGGTTGTCGTTGTTGTTGTTGTATTGTTGTTGTTGCTGTTTACCGGCACAAAGACCTGTATAGATCAATACAGGTCTAATAATTAATTTTAAACACGCCTTCAATTGCCAAGGCATATAAAATGAATGTTTGGTATTGGGCCTTAGAAAGTTACTGAGATAGCTTACTTAAGATTACCGTAATATTCCATCAGTGGCATTAACCACAAATCTCCTGTAGGCATAAAGAAAAGATTCCTTGACGATTTAGAGACATCACCTTACTTTGATATTTTCTTAGTTTCATCATACATATTCAAACTGTTGGGGTTTTTAAAAATATAGGCCATATATAAATATATATATATATATATATATATATATATATATAGGCTTTGTCCTCCAGCCTCACTCTCCGCCTTACTAATGACTGCTGGTATTTCTCGTTAAATTCAACCTTCGTTTTTGTTTTGTTGTTTAGCTGCTGTTGTTGTTTTGGTTTTCGCCGTCGTCTTCATATCATTTGTTGTTGTTGTTCTTGTTGTTGTTAAATTTAAAATGCCTGGATCGCTAACAACAAATTTAAAATGCTGTGTGGTGGTCTGGTTTGGAACAGTGGGTCTGGAGAGGAGGAGGAGGAGGAAGAGGAGGATGATGATGATGAGGAGGAGGCGGAGGAGGAATTAAGAAAGATATAATTCGCTTTCCGCTTAGTAAAAAGAAAAGGGAACTCATTACTCCCAAGTTAAAAACATTGCACTGGCTCCCTGTAGCCTATCCGCTAGAATATTGTATAAAATTACAATATTATGCCACAAATTAAGTGTGTCAATAAAAAAGGTACCTCATATCTTAGTGATCTCATCCAAGTCAATGTTCAATAGATCACTGAGTAAGATAATAGGTGACCAGGATCTTCTTTAAGAGTTCCCAAGAGAGGAGGTAAAAATTTAGCTGAAAGATCCTTTAGTTTTCAGGTAGTTTTAGAGATTCTTTGGCAAATTGGTCAATGGCTTCGTTGCCATCAGTGCCTACATGGCTTGGAAGCCAAGCTATTGTAATAGTTTTTCCAAACAGATGTAGAAAATGCAGTTTAATTATAAGTTTTAAAATTCTATTGTCGGAGGTGTCAGAGCGCTCTAAAGATTTCAGACAAGAGAGAGAGTCTGAAAGGATTAGGAAGGTAGACTTGGTTGATTGATCTATTATATTTAAGGCCATTTCAAGAGCTGTAGCCTCAGCAGTGTAGACTGAGGCTTCTGGGTGGAGTTTCCTTAAGTTTAAGCTGTGTGGCGATGCAAGGGCAGCAGCTCCTACCGAGGAGTCATTTTTGGATCCGTCTGTAAAGAGTTTCTCTGCTTCAGGGTATCTATTTATTAGCTGTTTGTATGAGTTTAAGTATGAAGTTTTGTCTGTAGACTTTTTGTTGTGTTTTTCAAGACTAGTATCTATGTTTGGTTTGGTTAAATGCCATGGAGGTATGCTGGACATGGCAAAGGGCTCGATTATGTCTTCAGAAAAATCAATGTCTTTGAGATCGTTCTGGATTCTTATTCCGAAAGGGCTTACTTTATTTTCTAAGGATAGAGTTTTTAGATCTTCGGGAAGGCCAAAGACACATTTGTGGGCTGGGTTTTGGGGTACTGAGCTAAGTTTCAAAGCATACTGCAAAGAGAGCTTTTTCCTTCTAAGTTCTAAAGATGGTTCATGAGCTTCTGCCTGTAAACTTTCTACAGGTGAAGTACGGAAAGCGCCTAGAGCAGCATTTAAATAACCGCAAAAATCAACAAGTCCATGAAAAAGGGCCTGCGTCCATCTTTCTGGAGATTGGCTGTTTTAACCCTAAACGTGCGTAATTCAAGAAAAAGTACAGGGTATTACATGTAAATTATGGAATTACACATAGGTATAATGGGCGTGTGTCAGTACATGTGTTCGGTTTTGGTGGAGACATGCTCTAACATAACACATTTATATATACACACATATATATATATATATATATATATATATATATATATATATATATATATATATATATATATATATATATATATATATATATATATATATATGCGGGCTCTCGTGGCCTAGAGGTTAAGGTGTTGGCCTCTCATTCAAAGGTCCCGGGTACGAATCCGGGTAGCGACCGAAAAATTTTCTTCTCTAAAATTGTCTCCTTTCACCTCCTTTCCAGCTCTCTAGCAATGTTCTGTTGTCTGCTTTCATTTCCACTTTCTGCCCCCACCCCCTCACCTCCTTTGCCTCCTCCTCTGGGCTCCTGACTCTTTCTGCAGCCTTTCTACTGATACTCCTTGGCTCCTCTTTACTGCTGTCTTTCTGCCACACCCCTGATCTTCTGGTAGGAAAGATCTACACCTAGCCTTCTCGGACAAGGGCGAAAAATCTCGAAGGGCTCGTGTGCAAGTTGCGCGCGTTAAAGATCCCTTGGTGGTCTAAAATCGAAGGGAGTAGGCTTCGGCCGCCATGCGGGCAAAATTCAAAATTTCCTACCAACTGAAAATATTAGGAGTGTCTCGCGCGCTCATATGACCTTATGCAGTTGCGAGCGCCGTAAATGTGTAAATGTATGTGTAAGGCATCAGGGTGAAATCAAGGGCTCATCAAAATATTTGAAAAACCACTCTTCAATTTCAAATCGAAACATTTTGCTTTTAGCTAGAAATCATTATCTTATTTATATCAAAGGCTATGATGGCTTACATGAAGTGATTTTCTCATTAATGACATAGAAAGTTATGAAAGTCATTATCTCACCTCATCCTGGCTGGTATTGTCATTACTCAGCCTTCTCACAACATTAATAAAAGCTTGACCTTTCATCTGTCGGAGAAAGTAGCAGTCTGGAAACCATCTCGCGTGTTCCACCCAGACGTCATTATTCACTTCCCAGTTTCGTAGACCCCCACCACAGTAATAACACCTTGCACAATCATCATAGCCTGAAAGTAGAAAAACAGAATTTATTATTACAACTGATATCATTTTTGCCTTTACCAAAATTAAAAAAGAAAACACTTTTAAAATGTACTTTACATAGATTTGCGCTCGTCTCCAAAGCGGAAAGTCCAAGTTCGAGCCTCGGTTCGGACACAGATTTTTTCCGCCCCCTCCTGCCCACCCAGCAGTAATGAGAACCTGACTTTTAGTTGGGAAGTAAAGGCAGCGTGGAAAGGAACTGGCCACCCTACCACAGTATGCCGAAGCCCAGGAAGTTGTCTCACTAACGAGGTAATCCCCAATGTCCGGATCGGATGCGGGAACAACTTTACTTTTTACTTTACATAGATTGCAGGGTTGTCAAAAAAGAAAAAATAGGATTTAAAAAAAATAGGAAACATCATATTATCGCTGTTACAAGAAATATGATTAAGTCTTATCTATTTTTTTACGGAGGGCAGGGGAAAGGGAGTTATTCTTTTTTTTTTTCCCAGCCAGCTCACAGAAGGAATGCAAGGCAAAATTAAATGACACTCAAGAAATTTCATGGCCATTTCAGTATCCTGGCACCATGTCTCCGAGGATTTTCACGAGATTATTGATGTTGAGCCAATATAGCGATCCCCCATAAATCAAGTCCTTTAACTCTAGTGTGTTGACTTTCTCAACTTTCTATTATCATCTGGCATGGCAACTGGTGAATCCCAAAATACGAAATAGGACCATCCAAACATGCACAGGGAAGACTTTTTTAAAGAATATTTAGTTTATTTACCTGCATAGTAAAATCCTGCATCGGCAAGCTCTTCTCTGGTCAGGTGATGTCCACTTGGCCAGGACTCAAAACTTTTCAAACGTGCTACTTTGAGGGCATACTCGTACCTCTTGGGTCTCTCTGTAATGATGCCTAACTGTTGGTAGGAAGGGCCTGCTCCCTGCTGCTGGGTAGTACTGCCAGTGGAGTCATTAGACTGCGGTGCTGATGGTCTAGTTTGCCCCTGCTGCTCAGTTGTAGTAGACTGTCCTTCTCCACCAGCAGTTGTATCAGAGGGTGTTGAGGACGGTTGACTGCTGGGTGTTCTGGAGTTTGATGTAGATGAACCAGAGCTGTCCTCCACCCAGGTCCCTCGAGAAGCTGATGATGTTGCTGTTGTCGCGGCAGTTGCTTGTGATGTGTTGCCACCTGCTGCTGCTGCTGCTGTTGTCTGAGGTGTCCCATTCGTCTCAGACCTGGAAGCTGCTTGGGCTCCAGACTCAGCATCAGCTGCAACAGAACTGACAGGTCCAGAGCTTGATACCACATTGCTGGAAGTAATCACATTGAAGCTGGCATTGGCATTGGAAACTTGATATGCAGTTACAGTGTTGGACTCTCTTCTATTCCCAGATGACTGAGCCGACATATTGCTCTTCGAATGACCTTGGTTCATCAAAGATCTGGTTGCTATTTGAGTAGCTTTAGGCACTGGAGCTGGAGCACGGGCCTCTGTATTCTGATACTGACTTACATGGCTATGGCTGCCACGCACATGGCGCCTCTCAGATTCCGGCTGATCTACTTCTAAGGAACTGTCAGTTCGTATTTCTTCTGTGTTCCCAGAACTTTTTGGTGGCTCACTGTAAACAGACTTTTCATCCTTGCTCTGCAACTGGTCAAACAGAGCATGTCCATTTTGAAGCACCGGCATAGGGACATTGTTGCAGTTTACATGAGAGATCATTGGGCAATCTGGAGACAACCTGGCATGGACATCATGGATCTTATCTGTGACGAGCCAGCCCTTGTGACTTGCAGAGCAGAAGTAACAAATCACAGAGTCATCTGATGTGGCGCCACTACCACAGTACGCAAAACCATCTTGAGCCAAGAGAATGGCTGATTGAGAAGCATTCAAAGGATATTTGCTAAAAGTGTAAAGCCTGCATTTTTCTTCCTTCAGAGACCCCCATGGTATGTCTCCAATGCTCCTTGGTACATCAACCCGCTGATGATAAACCACAGCGTGAGGCACTTTCACTTTGAAAAATTTCATATCAAACATTGTATCAATATCATGACATCTTTTGCTATCATTCTGGTCTTCTTTTGATTTCACAGATTTAGAGCTAGCTTCCAAAAGTTTTTCATAACTTTGCAAACAATTCTCATTCACTATGGACTCTAAAATGACAGCAAGCTTGGCCGCGTTGACTTTGTAAGGGGATGGTACTTGTTGGAGTTCACCCGAGTCATGCGCTCTAGCTGGCACATCTGGACTCTTCATCTGGAGCTCTGTATCTTGTAGCCTGGGCCTTGAGACTGTATTTGTTGTCATTTTCTCTGCTCCAAAACATTTTGACAGGACATCATAAACAAATTTTTACCATTATCTTGGCTCTTCAGATTTTCTTTTCCTTTCAGTTTTGTACGATTCAACAGTGGAAAAATGAATCTCCCAATCCAACACTTGTACTTTAAGCTGTCAGGATCCTTTGACTCGGATCATGTTCTGTGAGGAAAAAGTATGTATTTAAAAAGACTGAGTAATTTATAAGAGAGTAGAAAAAACAAGTGGAAAACAAAAGCATAAAAAGATGATTATTCACGTTTATGGTGGCTCTAAAAAACATGTAGTAAAAAATATTTCAGTACAACCTCCAATAACTATTATCAGCTTAAAGTCACAAACAGTCGAACTTGCCTAAAAGAAAATCTCTCTCTAAATTGAAACCTGCCATAACAGAATCTCCCCGCCCCCTCGTGATAAATTCCCCTATAATTACAGTCGAACCTGTGTAAGATGAACACCCATTGTGAAGGACAAAAGTGGCTGCATAAGACAGGTGGCTGTCTTAGGCAGGGCTGATCAAGATGAAGAAAACAAACCATTCCTTTCTGAGGTCTCAACCGAAGGTAGCTGCATCGTGGTTGTTGTTGTTGGTTTGGTTTTTTGTTTGCTTTTTTAAATTTTGTTGCTACTTCTGTGCAATGGTGGCATTAAAAAGAAATGTGTCAGATGAGTGAGACTGAGTGCCATGTTAAAACAAGCATATGGGTCGCCACCACTCGGAGAAAGAGCGACGCTTCAGTTGAAAGTTCATGTCGACGTCCATTGTTGCTTTGCTACAGACCGAGTAAACAGTGACCACTCATATCACTTACGATTTGTGTAAGTTCAGGGTTCACAGCGGGGCTTATGGGTTATGAGGGAACGCACGCTTACCTCACCAGCAGCTGAAAATTTGTTACCTGTTGGTCAACAGTGGGAGGGGCCAACGCAACAAGATCGTTTGGAGGGACTACCTAACAACAATGACAGGTGATTGGATAGTGAAGGCTCGCCCACAACACCAGGGGCAAATGTATTATAATTTAGGACAAAACGTAATGGAGTCACTAAGGTGGCCGTCTAAGACAGGAGTTATTGCTTAGTGTGATAGGGGTTGTGAGTTAAAATATGGTGGCCGCGACCGCGTTGGACTGGTGGCCGTTTTACACAGTGAAATTATATCGAAAAAATTCAAGGGGGGAAATGGAAAGCGACCGTTTGTACAGGCGGCCGTCTTACAGAGGTGGCCGTCAGGGCAGGTTCGACTGTATCTCTATAAAACAGAAACCAGCTCAACCTTGAAAAGGAAAGAGAAATGTTCTCCTCTTGAAGGGTTTTTGCCTGTCTAAGATGGACAATTTTTTGCCTGCTCAGCCCTGATTTGAAACAAAACTCTCAAGTTTGGTTTCACCGGCTTTAATTTTATCGCCACACCATCAAGCGAGGGGGGGGGTATGTGCGTCGTGGTGGTGAGGTTTGGGGGTAGATGGTACCCTATCCCTGTGATCCCTGACCAGTGCAGATGGTTAGGGTGGTGGGGTGAGTGTGAGATCTTACCATTGCCTGTGAAAGTACTCGAGTGTATAAAATGTGAAGTTTACCGGCTTCTCTTTCAGCCCTCCCTTTGAGATATGCAACCATTGTTTTGCTTCCTGCAAATATAGGACATTTCCGCAGTCAGTATGGTGAACAAATCCCCCCCCCCCCAATCCCCCTGAAAAAAACCCCTTGTACTCTTCTCCTGGCCCTAAAAACACCTTATTTCTCTATTTTGCATGTGTATAAAAAGGTGCACAGTATAGTAGTCCAAAGCAAAATAATAGAAATAATTTGGAACACAGAAACTCTCACCAAGGAGACCAAAAATGAATGCTGAGAGAGCAAGAATAAATCATAGGTACATTACGCACTTAACCCTATCCGTACGCCCTGGGGTCATTTTATACTCAAGTATACTCCCGGAGTTGCATTCTTCACATTTTAGAATACTTCTAGAACGAAGATCTGTTTGAAACTTTCAGTATTTCTCAAGAAATCATTTTGACAGACTGCTATTTAAAGCGTAGGGATCGGATTAATGAGAAACTTTCCTCTTTGGAAAGTGGTGGCACAGAGTCCCTCACGTCATATGGATACGATAGCAAAACACGACATACGGATAGGGTTAAGACTTAAATTTTACAAAAGTAGGCTTTTTGCACCAATCAAGAAATGGACACCATTGCATTACCATCGGGACCGTTCACAAATGACATCAACTCAGCCAGGAGGGGGGATCAGAAAGGTTGACATAAGTTGACGGAGGTGGGGAGGGGGGGGGGGGGGCAAAGTTGATGTCAACCATGAAGCTCTTAAAGGTTGGGGAAAAGAAGAAAAGAAAGTTTAAAAAAAATTTATAGACCACATTTTTTGGGCCTAAAATTAACACAATTAAATTAGACCACATTATTTTTTTGGCCTAAAAACTAACTAGTAAAATGAACAGTTATCTCCCGATAGCACAGACTGCTAGAAGCTAGATTAGACCAGGTTCTACATAAATGTAAATTTACATTTTGGTTGACGTCAACTAAGGGGGGGGGGGGTTCCTTGGAAAGATGACAGAAGAAGATAAGAAGATGACAAGGGGGGTGGGAGGTGTCATTTTTTGGGCCAAATTTTAGCAGACATCATTTGCCAATGGTTTCGTATATATATATATATATATATATATATATATATGTGCATGTGTGTGACCTCGTCGTGACACCAAGCCCTCATCAAAATAATTAAATCGAAGAAACCAACATTTTTCCACCTGCTAGGTAATTTTCAATCTTTTTTGGGTTTTTTTTTAGGGCATAGAACATGTTATGTCCATTTAAAACACATTTCTGTTTGGATTTTACGGAAAAACCTTGACCAAAGGCACAAATAGCGGACATTTGCAGCTTCTAAGTACACTACAGCTTGCATTTTGTGGCCAAAAATTCGAGGCACAACTTATCCTCAAACATTTCTTAAACAGATGAATCAATGTTACCCATACTTTGCACAACAGTTTGTACAAATTTGTCTTAACTTAATTATGTTTTTCGACAACATTTGAGGCTTGATTAAAAAAACTTTTCTTCATAAATTTATATAAAATACTAAAAATCTCCGTCACGCAGAAAATGGAATTGTTCACAGCACTTCCCGCTTCTCATGCACATTTTGCATATGCATCCTAAGCCATTGCTAAATAATGACAATTTTTAGTTTTAGTAGAAAAACTTGTTACAAAAAATTAATCTTACAGTGAACACATTTTTTTCACTAAAGATTCTCAAAACATGCGTTCAATAGGCATAATGTTGCGATCAGAAAACAATTGACAGATTTGCTTTTAAAAGTAATAAGGGGCTCTCGTGGCCTAGAGGTTAAGGTGTTGGCTTCTCATTCAAAGGTCCCGGGTTCGAATCCGGGTAGCGACCGAAAAATTTTCTTCTCTAAAATTGTCTCCTTTCACCTCCTTTCCTGCTCTCTAGCAATGTTCTGTTGTCTGCTTTCATTTCCACTTTCTGCCCCCACCCCCTCACCTCCTTTGCCCCCTCCTCTGGGCTCCTGACTCTTTCTGCAGCCTTTCTACTGCTACTCCTTGGCTCCTCCTAACTGCTGTCTTTCTGCCACACCCCTGATCTTCTGGTAGGAAAGATCTACACCTAGCCTTCTCGGACAAAGGCGAAAAATCTTGGAGGGCCCGTGTGCAAGTTGCGCACGTTAAAGATCCCTTGGTGGTCTAAAATCGATAAGAGTAGGCTTCGGCCGCCACCCGGGCAAAATTCAAAATTTCCTACCAACGAAAAAGTATTAGGTGTGTCCCGCGCGCTCATATGACCTTATGCAGTTGCAAGCGCCGTAAAACCCTATACTAAACAAACAAACAACAAACAACAAAAGTGATATCACCACAAGTGTAAACCTTTTAAAATCTGTAGAAACCATCCACTTGGATTTTTAATTAGTATTTGTCACGGAAATTTCCAGAATACAGCCGATAAGTGTTTATAAAAATATTGCTCGGTTGAGGAAAATTGATACAAGTCATTGTGCAAAAAAGCTGGAGAGTCTATGTTCGATAGTTCAGGAAATATTTGACAATAAGTTGCGCCATTAATTTTTGACAACATTATTGTCCCCAAACTTTGATGACCATTTCCTCACTAATTTTACATCTGTCACCAGGTGAACCCCATCTCCTTCCATTGCAAAAGTTTTGACTTCTCTTCAAGATAGATGAGCATCTTTTTTTCCTTAAAAGCAAGGCAAATGAACATGTTAAGATTATACTAAACTAATAACCCCATAACTATACCCCAAAATTGACAAACACCAGATTCCACCGCGTTATGACAAACTTTTGACCAGTTTACTTGTACCTATCCCTTCCAACATTTACCAATCACTAAATAAGTTTAGATAGAAGCAAGGAAGGTAAATTTTTACTTTCTGACCCGCGCGTAGATGCACTAATGCAGGGATAAACTGCTGTATATTTTGCAGCAGAACATACATGTGGCCACTAAAATCTTCCCATAAAATTGTTCTCAAGAAAATATCAAACCTTGTTGCAAACCATCAAATTATGGTGACATATGATACACGGAGGCATGCCCCCCCCCCCCCCCACCTAAAAACCACCCAGATCTTTTTTAGGTCAAGGGGCATACCCCCCTGACGCCCCCCCCCTTCCGTATAGTTAAAAACAAGTGAAATAATCCAACACAATTGAGGTTAATAATGCAATTAGTTCATAGAAAAACATCCATAAATTTCATAAACTAATAATTAGCGGTGGAGATAAGCCAAAATTCATGTAAAGAAGATAAAATTGAACAAGAAAAGGGTTCTAGATTTTATTCTGCGTATGAGATTAAAACAATACCACAAGACAACTTGTTTAAGTCTAGAGTTCGAGTTCATTCAGTATAGAGGAAGTCGAGTGTTTTTCTTCTCATTCTTAGCCTTAAGAATATACTGTGTATACTTTAGTCTATTGGACTACAGGCTTTGCTATACACTATATTATCGCCGCCTATTCAATAAAAAAATAAATAATACGATTTTGTATTTTATTATTCCACAATTATTAATCAAGGGTACTATTATGCGACAAGTAATATGATAAACAGAATAGAGCACATAAAAAATGCCGATTGTACGACAAAAATCTTACCTAGACTTCCAAAAACTGAATTATAATTAACATTAGGATGTCAGTCTTTTATCCAGCTTTACATTAAGAGACGTCATTGACACTATATGCCAAAAAAAGATACTGGAAACGAGAATGAGACCAATTGTAGGGACTCAACTCAGTGAAGCCCTATTTGGCTTCAGAAAAGGCAGGGACTGTACTGATGCTATTTTTGTATTGAGACAGTTGAGTGAGACTGCCATTGCACATGACAAAGACCTCGACACCATCTTTGTGGACCAGGAATAGGCGTTCCACCGGTAAATAGACGTCAACTTTGGGAAGTCTTAGAGGAATATGGTGTAACAGGACAATTGCTGGAGAACATCATGGTGCCGTAAGATCAACAGAAGGACTATCGGACGGGTTCCCCATCAGGTCTGGGGTAAGGCAAGGGTGTGTTCTTTCTGCACCTCTCTTCATCATTTACATGGGGATAAGATCACGAAAGCAACAAATGACAAAATCACTGAACTGAACGAGCTTCTATTTGCTGATGACCAGAGTATACTAAATACAGATGAAGAGGAATGACAAAAACACACAACAAAACTAAATGAAGAATGTAAACACTTAAACATGAAAATCTCCATTTCAAAAATAGAAGTTATAAAGGTCAGCAGAAACACAGGTAAACTCAACATCCTTGTTGACGGAACCTAACTCCAAAAAGTGCAGGGATTTAAATATTTGAGAAGCATCTTCACCCAAGATGGACGTATGGACAAAGAAATAGAAACAAGAACTATGAAGGCAAATGTAGTGACCTACCAGCTAGCACCCCTGCTCAGTCACAAGAACATCCCAACCGAAGTGAAATCTCAGCTTATCAATAGCATCTTCATACCAACCTTAACATACCAGTGCCAAACATGGTCTCTAAACAAGGCACAAGAAATAAAAATCAAAGCATGCGAAATGAAGTGTCTCAGCAAAACCATCAATGTCACCAGAAGAGACTGCATAAGGAACGAGACCATACGCCTACAAACCGGAATACCATCAGTAAAATTTCATTCAGCGCCAAAGAGTCAAATTGTTCAGACATCTAACTTCTAACCAGAATGCCCCAGAAACAACTAGCGGCTAGAGCTTACCACACCCGTGAATCTGACTTCAAATCAAGAGGAAGACCAAGAAAGACCTGGCTGGATGGGGTTTAAATGATCCTGGAACAACATAACATATCTATCACAGACACTACACACCTAGCACAGGACCAAAACCTGCACTTTCCACCGACAGCGTGAGAATACCAGAGGAAAGAAAAAGAAAAAAGTCAAGTATTGACACTATAAATATCGTTGGGTTTCTCCCATTATCGGAAAGTTCCATTTGTTGATAGGATCTTTAGTTTTAAATAGTAGTACGGGATTTCCCAATTTTTGCACTGCAGGCGTACAACACTTCAAGTAGGTAGCACAAAGAAAAAATGCGAATTGTTAGAAAGTGGATTTTCTTATTGGATCAGAAAGAGCTGTAGAAACCATGAAATTCATCGTTTAAATCATTAAAATCGGATCATACATAAAAAAGTTACCCAGGTTCAAATTCATTAAAAACGTAGAGAATTTCACGCAGCATACAAAACGAGCAAAAAGCAGGACTTTGAACACAATCACGTAACAACAATACACATACTGAATTCTTATGTTTTCTTGAAGTTAAGGACAATATTGAGGCATACAAAGACTAAAGAAATCCTCAGGCTTATAATTCCGATTCTGTAAACCCTTGTATGAAAATGGCTGTTCAGTGAACAATATTTGCTTGCTACATCAAAGTAGACCAATTTCAAAGGCCCGTTGTTTGTAAAGTTATTATCCTGTGAAGTCAAAACTTCGTGATGTTGTTGATAACAATGCAGGGTACAAGCTTAATTTTTCTTAGCGAGCAAATGACAAAAAACCTTTGAAGTATGCCATCGTGAAAATGACCGAACGACTCATTTCGCGGGCTGGCAAAAAGAACATGGAAAAAGACAGCTTTGTGAAAACTTTCCTCAAATAATATTATTGAATTTCAATTACAGAAATCAGACTGACATTTCCTATTTTTGTGTAATTTAGCATGCTGAAAGCAAAAATGCTGTGAGATTTAACATACAAATACTTTTAAACTTTAAAAAGAGAAAAGGTATAATGTTGCTCACTATACACTTCCACAGGTTATCTTGATTTTAAAAAGTAGACTAAATACTAAATGTGACATTATTGAAGAATAATCATGAAATCAGAAATGGGTATTTGTTTAGTGTAAAAATATACTATGTTTCAAAGAACAGCGCAAGAAACACTTTTATTTGGTTGTTTACTAGATCACCCGACTAGGCAGACATAACGTTGGCCAGCTTGTGCGCAGAAAAAAGGAAAAAACAGGAGGGGAGGAGGTGCTTCAAAACGGAATGCTTCCGTCAACCAGGAAAAAACAGACTTCTGTACACCAATGTGTAAAAGAAAAGATTAGCCTTTGAGTTGAGTCGTGCGACAATTGTTTTCTTTTTTTTTTATTGCAATTTCTAGTGATTCCATTTTTTACTTTGTATTTCTTACAGCTTTTTTTTGTCGCTTGATCATTTCACCTGTGATTTAAATAAAGAGGGTGAACTCCCTTCTTTATTGGTAACAAAATTCGGTCATTTCCGAGTCTCCTGGTCGACAGGTTTCATTTGAATAACCCTACCCTCTGAAAATCTTCCTGACCAAACGTGCCGAGCGTCCACACGTGGACCCTGTTGTCCTTTTCCCACAGGATTGTTAATTTTAACTGCACTCAGTGTAATAAAAGAATAACATATTTTGAAAAAGAAAAGAACACTGAATATGAAGATATAAATTTCCTTTTGAGTGTCAACACTATTCAGGAGAGAAGTGGCCTACAATTGACACACAATCTACGCTTCACTTCGCTCAAACGCACTTTTCCAATGCGCAAACTCACACTGTTGGCCTAGCTACTTAAAGTCTCAAGGGCTCAAGACGGGCCTTCAGATCAGACTTGGGTCAGCATGTCAAAAGTCACGGCCTAGATTTATAGATAATTCCCTTCCAAATATTTTGTGGGCCAAAGTAGAAGAAAAAAAGGTGAAATTGGTTGAAATACCTAAGCTCTCAAATATATGAGAATAAAACTGACACAAGAGCATGTTATACTGTCACTCAATATAAAATTTAATGAAGATTTTTCTTCTTCTTTGCGCTCACCCTGCTGGATCTCAAGGAGTCGACTGCTGGTTTTTCAACCTGCAGCGAAACACATTTTTACATTATATTGACCATTCTTCCTGTACTTCTTTTAATCTTGGGGCCCCTTGAAGGTACTCTATATATATATACAGTAGTGTCCATCTAAGATCCCGTTGCTCGAGAGCAAGGAAAATGCGGGATCTTATGCGAACAGGATCTTAGCCGACGCACCAACGGAACAATCTACGGTGACCCATCTTAAGGCCTATCACCGGTTAAATGGTCTCCCTTCACCCTAAAACGAATTGGGTAGGTTTATGACAGATGCCGAGCAAAGAATGGTCAACCTTGATGACCAATCACAGTGGCGTAAGGTACGCCATTTTCACTTTAAAATCATCCTATCGTGAGTCTCAAGATCTACATTTATCCAGTTGCCCCTCCCCTTTACCTGTCCAAAATTTTATAACTTTCCATCTCGGACCGAGTTCCACCACCTTTGTCATTATGAACTATTCTGTTGTGACCACATCAATTAAAATTCAATCTGTCTCGCAAATTCAGGAGTAGAGACAACTGCTGACTGCTATGGCAAGGAAGAGTTCACAGTTGGATGTGATCCCACCGGGAGTGAATTTAAATAGGCCTTACCCACCCAACGAGTGAAGTAAGTTTAGGTGGAAAGCTCAGGTACGTGCGAGTGCGATGTTTAGGGAAAACAAATGTGTCACTCAGTTCACAACTCGGTGTGATCTCGTCTGGGGCAAACATTGTACCGTTTCACTGAGTTTTACAACGTTTTTATAAATGTGATCACATTCATGAGAATGGCTGATCTTTGACGTGATGGACTGTCCAATGATCTCAAATTTTCCCTCTTAGTTGATCGACTGTGCATAACCGGGTTTTTGTTCTGACAGGATCTTAGCTGAATGAACAGAATGTAGACCTTCAGAGTGAATCAGAGCAAGATCTTAGGGGTGACTTATTTTTGTATAGTAAAAATTATGTTTTCTAAAAAAAACAGCGGGTTCTTGGGCAACCGGGATCACCAGTGTGATCTTAGACTGATACTACTGTATATATATGTTCTTATAAAAAGACTACAGCGTTTTCATTTTCAGTAGACATTTTTTATTTTGTCCAGGCGCGGTGTCCGAAGCATACTCTTATAATCAATTTTACAACCATCAGGGATCTTTAACGTGAGCAACTTGAACAGGGACCTCTGAGAGTTTTAGTGCTTATCCGAGAAGGTTAGATGATACATCTTACACACCCTAAAACATGATATGAAGGGGTGAGGCTGAAAGACCAGGAGAAGAGTGGAAAGAGTCAAGAGTAAAGGGGAGAAGAGCCCAGCGGAGGCCGAGGGGGGAGAGGGGGAAAATGGCAATGAAAGCAGGTGACACAACATGACGAGAGAACCGGAAAGGAGAAAAGACAAAATTTTAGTGAAGAAAATTTTTCATGTCCAACCCGAAACCTGTTGATTGAATGAGAGACGAACACCAAACCTTGAGACCATGAGAGCCCCGTTTTTCATAAAATAAAATCTTAGATCTAGTAGAATTACTTCCAGCTGAGCCATTATAACTAATCATTCTAATTTTGGTATTCTTTTACTTTCCCTCCAGTCTCACACTTAACAACCAGTTGTCTATTTTCTCTTATATATTGCTGCGCTGAACACGAACGTCAACTTCATTTCCGTCGCAAATTAATAGTTTTTGAAATATTTTATGTTTTTTCAATGAGCTATATCACACTAAAAGCCTAATCCTGAAAAAAAAAAATACCTGTGGGGTTGCAAGGGGGCATGCTCCAAGCTGTTTTAATCCATAATTTGATATTTTGCAGTTAGGTTAAAAATTTTCTGGAAAATAATTGGTTTGCGACAGTTTTGGTGGCTTTACACGTGTGATCTGCAGCCAACAATACTGCAGTCTGATCCCCGAAGCAGTGCACCTGTGTACAGGAGTGAAAATAAAAATGTACCCTAATTTTCAAGACGCACAGTTCAAGGCATTCTCCATTTGACCCCAAGAGTACTAGATATCGATACTGACTTAGCCTAAATATTCGGTATCGCTGTTTTATCCAAAAGTGAGCGAGAGATGCGCTGCTATTTCTCGGTACAAAATGAGTAGCAATATTTCACTAGTTTTTAACAAGGGGTGTTTCCTTGCTCCCCTGACCTAATAAAAATATGGGGGGGGGTTCAGGGGGGCATGCCCCGAGAATTTAACCACAACTTGATGTTCTGCAGTCACATTGTAGGTTTGATATCTCTCGCTCGCCACGCATCA